TCTCTCTCTCTCTCTCTCTCTCTCTCTCTCTCTCTCTCTCTCTCTCTCTCTCTCCATCTCTCTCACTCTCTCTCCCCCTCTCTCTATACTAACAAAAACGAAACAAAACAAAAAAACATAATCAATCAATCAATCAATCAATCCTTCAATCCAATCTATACATTGATTGATTTATTGATTGATTGATGACTGTGTCTGTGTGTCACTGTGTGTGTGACTCTGTGTGTGACTGTGTGTGTGTGTGTGTGTCGTCTCTCTCTCTCTCTCTCTCTCTCTCTCTCTCTCTCTCTTCTATTATTTGAACAAAAACAAAAAAAAACAAAAACAAATAATCAATCAATCAATCAATCCAATCAATAGATTGATTGATGATTGTGTGTGTGTGTGTGACTGTGTGTGTGTGTGGTCTCTCTCTCTCTCTCTCTCTCTCTCTCTCTCTCTCTCTCTCTCTCTCTCTCTCTCTCTATTCAATCAAAAACAAAACAAAACAAAAACTAATAATCAATTAATCAATCAATCAATTCATCAATCCAATGAATATATTGATTGATTGATTGATTGATAGGCCGCCTGCGCCGTTGACAAGAGATAGCTACATTGGGTTATGCTGTAGTCAACCCCTGTTCCCGTTCTGTTTCATTCTCAAATGGATGCTTGCTCGGTTCCATTGTGCTATCTGCTCTGGCTTTGACTACTTGGACTTCAGTCTCATTTTGCGATATGGATTTATGTGCTTCGTTCATATTCATGTTCCTTGCATTTATCAAAGAATCAATCAATCAATCAATCAATCCATCAATCAATCAATCTTTCAATGAACTTAGTCAATCGATAGACTGTTTGATTGATTGGTTGATTGCTTGATTCAATGATTGATTGATTGATTGATTGATTGATTGATTGATTGATTGATTGATTTATTGATCTGTGTGTGTTTCTGTGCTCTCTCTCTATCTATCTATCTATCTATCTATCTATCTATCTATCTATCTATCTATCTATCTATCTATCTATCTATCTATCTATCTATCTATCTATCTATCTCTATCTCTCTCTCTATCTTTTTGCAATCTGGATATCTGTGCTTCGTTCATATTCATGTTCATGGCATCAATATTCATGTTTATGGCATCAATCAATCAACCGATCAATCAATCAATCAATCAATCAATTAATCAATCAATCAATCAATTAATCAATCAGGCAATCAATCAATCAAGCAATGAATCAATCAATCAAGCGTTCTATGAATGAGTACGACGCATGATTGGTTGATTGCTTGATTCAATGATCGATTGATGGATTGATTGATTGATATGTGTGCGTTTCTGTGCTCTCTCTCTCTCTCTCTCTCTCTCTCTCTCTCTCTATCTATCTATCTATCTATCTATCTATCTATCTATCTATCTATCTATCTATCTATCTATCTATCTGTCTTTGTCTTTGTCTCTTTCTCTCTCTCTCCAGAAAAAAAAAAAGTAATAAATAAAAGAAAAAAATTCAATCAATCGATCAGTCAATCAATCAATCAATCAATAGACTGTGTCATTGATTGGTTGATTTGTTGATTGCTTGATTGCTTGATTGCTTGCTTGCTTGCTTGATTGATTGATTGATCCGGGCTTCCTGAGGGCGCAGGGGGGGTGAGGGCGAAGGTGGTTCATCGGAGGTGAAGGTCACGTCCGTGGGTAACAATGGAGAGTGTCGGTGAAGAGGACACGTACCTGGTGGAGGTATAAGTGGGCATTGGTGTTCACATCATCACTCGCTGGTAGTCAAGTTATCTGGTTGCTTTCATTACTGTAGTTGTAGGTTTACGTTGTAGAGTAGATWGGGCGCCTTGCGCCGTTCACAAGAGAGATCTACATTGGGTTGTGCTGTTGGTGTTGCCCTGTTCGCCCGACCTTGACTCACAATTCTTCTATTTCATTCTCAAATGGGTTGAGCTTTGACTACTTGGACTTCATTGTGATTTTGCAATATGGATTTCTGTGCTTTGTCCATATTCATCTTCCTTGCATCAATCAATCAATCAATCATTCGATCAATCATTCAAACAAACAATCAATCAATCAATCAATTATCTGAGTCAATCAATGGACTGTTTGATTGATTGGTTGACTGCTTGATTCTTTGATTGATTGATTGATTGATTGATTGATTGATTTGTGTGCCTGTGTCTGCTCTCTCTCTCTCTCTCTCTCTCTCTCTCTCTCTCTCTCATCAAAGCCGAAAAAAAAAACAATCAATCATTCAA